CCCTCATCTCCATGGCTGTGCCAGCTGTGCCAGCTGTTTCCAGCTGATGCTGTGCCCACCATCTCCCCAGTTCTCCTGAAGTGAGCAATTGAAAGAACCTACAGTTGGCTTGTATGACAAATTATTTCACTTCTATGACAGACAGTGACTAAAAAACCATAGAAAAGGAGAAAGATCTGCTGTAATAACAGCAAAGATGGAACAGTAACTGCCACTTCTGATTTGTAGGATTTCTCTAGATAAATCTGGATTCTAATACACTGAATGGAAAGGGCACCTCAGGGTCAGGTGGGAAGGAGACATGGTCCTGCAGTCCTGTATCTTTTGCACAAATAAATCCCAGATGTACACTTTACCCTCAATGAATTTCTCTGGCAAGGGACAAGTCATTGCTTTTCTCCATCCTAACCACAGATGTCACTCATCATGAACTGCCCAAGTGAGGCCATCCAGGCTCTGACCTGTCCAGAGCTGTGCATGTACTCAGATGGAGAAAGGATAAGCAAATAATAATGATAAATAAATAGATTAAAGAATGGAAAAGAAAGGTCTATCCTAATTTGCCTTCTTATTTCTCTTAAAAATTCTGTCCCATGTTTTATCACCCATGATACAATCTCCACAAGGCTTTCCAGTGCATTTATGATAATTGTATAAAATACTCATCTTGTGAGACTTCACTGGAGCTCTCAGCAGAACTGTCATTAGGAGAGAAAGCCCCAACACAAAAGAAAGTGGCTGCAGAGGAATCAACTCCCTCTGATCTTCAACAGCTCTACTTCAAAGTGCTCTCTAATCTATGAGAAAGGAACTGACTGTACCTCAATGTTGCACTTCTTAAGTTAAACTGTGTGTGACAGCTAATATGTGACTTGGATCCTGTAGAACTGAGGATATTGATTTAATGACATTGATAACAGAAAGCTTAAAATACAAGTCAGCTTTTACAGTGGAAGATTAAGTCACTGGAGTGTTATTAAAAGCCTGTGAAAGGACAGTTTATGAAGCTTTCAGGAGAGGGAAAGTAGAAGCACACTGAGTAATCCAGGATCTGTGCATGTGCTCTCACTAATCCACATTCTGCAAATCATTCCTTCTGCAAGGGGAGAGTTACACACAGCTTCTCCCAAAAAAATAACCCACATTCTACAAATCATTCCTTCTGCATGGAGAGTTACACACAGCTTCTCCCCAAAAAATAACCCACATTCTGCAAATCATTCCTTCTGCATGGAGAGGGTTACACACAGCTTCTCCCCAAAAAATAACCCACATTCTGCAAATCATTCCTTCTGCAAGGGGAGAGTTACACACAGCTTCTCCCAAAAAACCAATCCACATTCTGCAAATCATTTTTTCTGCATGGAGAGTTACACACAGCTTCTCCCAAAAAAATAACCCACATTCTACAAATCATTTTTTCTGCAAGGGGAGAGTTACACACAGCTTCTCCAAAAGAGAATTACACTGCAGGGGGAAAGGACCCTCTTGGCCCCAGGAAGGGGCAGAGCCTGGACCTTCAGGAAGGACTGGGTGCACTCAGCATCCTGAGGGGCTTTTCCAGCATTAATAATCCTGTGCCTGTGTGAGTGGCCAGCATCCCCTGCAGCCAGCACTGGCTCCCAGGGAACCAGCCAGACAGGCACAGCCAGGCCCAGCAAGGGAGAGGATTCCACAGAGGGTGTGCAGATGTGTGGTGGGAGCCCACACAAGCCATGCTGAGAGCAGCAGGAGGCCAGGAAAGGGGGCTGGGGGCTGGAAGGACTGCTGGAAACCCTCAGGAAAACCTACTTGCAGGAAATGTCAGGAACACAACTGCAGAAGGAAAACAGGCAGCCAGCTGCTGCTGGGGAGGATTGCCAGGAGCCAAGCAGAGGGTGGGGTGAACCTTTCTGAGATTAGCTTGTCTCTCCTCTCCTCCCCTGCATTCAGAAAGCAAATATTTGGCCACAGAGAGGTGGCCAGCAGGAGTGCAGGGCGTGCACCTTCATTCTGCAGGGTGAGGGGGGATGAAGCTTTGGGGCAGGGCTGGCACTGACCTGAGCCCAGCAGCTCCAAGCCCAGAGTGTTTGGCTTCCTCTCATCCGGAGCAGCTGACAATTCACCCCATTAACTTCAGTTTGGAGCCCACTTGTCTCTGTTTGCAAAACACAGAATTTTGTCTGATTCTGAGAGGTTTAAGCCTCGCTTTCTCAACCTCCTAGGGATTATTTTGAAGTTGGCAAGAAAAGGCACTAAACAAGCCTCTTGTCTGCATGTTTGTGTCTTTTGAGCTATTCACAGCCTCACTTACATATCCGTGTGTGTATGATTGAAAACAAATTCTGATTCTGGCTTATGGATTAAATTAGAGACTAAAATGATGTGTCTAATTTAAGGATTTCCTGTCCTCACAGTGACATCCTGACTATTAGTGTGACCTATTCAGGGACACGTGGTTTATTGACTTTCCTTTCCATCTATTTCTCCTAATTACCTAGAAGATTAAAACTTTCGGGTACATTCATCTACTCAGTTACCTGGAAAAAGACAGACAGAAAGAATAATCACCCATTTCTTTGGTATTGGCTGTTTTCTTCCAAGCTATGAGAAAACCGCATTGCAACAGATTTTTGGGCTTAGATCAGCCAACTCTTTTAATTTAGAGTCCATTTGACTGATTCACCCTAAGATGTAACTAGCATATGTAATGAAAAAAACCTGTAAATTGCACAGAAAGGAATGTAGGTTACGAATAGGGAATTCGAGTGTACTGTGGATAAAAGCCAGACCTTCAGTTGTTTCATTGTTGTGAGCAGAGCTGTGCCAGCACACACACACTTTCTGAAGCAATGAACACAACTCTGGAGGCTCCCTGGGCCAACAGGAAAGTTTTCTGGATTTATTTCCTAATGGGACAATCACACAGTTAAAAAAAAAACAAAAAAAACTGCATGAAATCACAAAGGGTGGGAAACTGTGACAGACAGCAATATAAAGTTAAAAATGAAATATCAGAGGTTATGAAGTCATCTGAAATCAGAGAAGGTTGCTACATGGATTGGGTTTGATTATTCCTTTGCCTGAGGCTAAAAATAGTTGACATATCAATTTCCTGCAAGAATAGTGTTAATCAAATGTTCCACCAATATCCATCCCCAGTTCTCAGCGTTGTCTATTTAACAGCTGCTGGGTTGGGCAAGCACTGTGAGAACAAAAAAGTAATGAAAAGACCCATGAGCAACAGACTGAAAAATATCTTGGCTGCTCTACCAGATACCATTTCTATAAGAGAGAGAAAAGAGGAGGAGGGAATGGATGGGGAAATTGTCCTGGTGCTTTCTTTTTCAATTATGGCACACAGCAAAAAAAAATTACTGCTTTCAAACATGTAGAGCATCAGAAGATCTTGCCAATTTTATGCTACCAGGTCCACATCCATTGGAATAAAAAAGCCATTTTCTCAACAGGATCACATCTTTTTTTACAGCATGAGCAAGGGGCTTCATGCAACAGCTGCCAAGCCAAATCTGAGCACTTGCAGATGTCAGTGAGGGCTGCCAGGCCCTGTGCTCTGTCACACACTGGTTTGTGATTTACAGAAACTGTCCCTTGCTGCTTGTCCTGCTTCAAGTCCAACATCTCAAATACCTCACAGTGCATTTCCCCTTTTCCCCTGCTCTCTGCCCTGGGTGCCTGGGGGTGTTTGTGTGGGGGAGCTGCAAACCAAAACTCTCAGTTTGGAGCCACAACTGCTCAAGGTGCAGCTCTGTAGTGTACAGCCCTGCCAAACTGCCTGCATTAACAACAACCCATTAATAACAACCAAAATATTGCAAATTGTGCAGTGTACAGCCCTGCCAAACTGCCTGCATTAATAACAATTCATTAATAACAACCAAAATATTGCAAATTGTGCAGTGTACAGCCCTGCCAAACACCACTGACTGCAGCCTGCATTAATAACAATCACAATATTGTAAATTATGCTGATAAAGGAGAGCACAGAAAGGTTAAAAAACAGCTCCAGAAAGAAGCAGGCTCATTTTCATTAGAGATGCATGGAGCTGCCTTGAATGGAAGATGTGTGCAAATAGAAATTACAGGATAAGGACCTTTGAAATTCAATTTGGGGAGCAACTGGGTTACATCAGTAAATATTTGATGTTTAAAAAATGTAAATGCCAGTCAGTGAGAAGCAGAGCTCAGCAGCCTCTCCTTCTGTAAGCACCAAGAGACACAGAACTGAGCTGATGATCTGTAGGAAAAGCTGCCTTGATGCAAAGTGAAAACATTTCTCATGTTCCTTTAAAGCACAGCTCTGTTCCAAGGAATGAAGAGGCAAAAATATTGATATTGTCTCTCAAGAAAGGGTCTCATTTACATAATTAGCACTACAGCAGTCAGGAGTTTTGATGTGTCCTTACAGTTACACAGTTATGTCCATATGTAAGAGAAAATGAAAAGTACAGAGCCATGCAGAGCTGTGCTGAAGGATGGACCGAGGGCAGCCTTGGCTCTTTGTGTTTCAGCAAGCCAACCGAATGGAAAGGCAGGAGAGCTGCAGTTCCCCCCCCGTGTGCCATTAACAGAATTATTTATGCAGAGCCACCACCACCAGACGTGGGACCCTCCCCTTTGCCCTTGGCTGGCTCAGGGCACAACCTCCAAAATTGCCCCTCCAAAATTCATGAGCTCAGGCTGCCTCCAAAGAGATCTCATTTAAACCAAGTAAGGAAAAATGCAACTTATTCCACCCGAGGTGCCCCTGCTGAGGCAATTCCTCCTTGTTTAAAAGGCTTTATTCTGATTTAATGGATGCACAAAAGCTCTTCTGCTTTCACCTGTGCCCACTCAGCTCAGAGCTCCAGAACATCTCAGTGCACAGAAGAAGAAACCCAGTGTGATCGTCAGTGCTCCAAAAGAGTTTGTTTTTCCAATTGGCAAATAAATAAAAAAAGGAACTCTCTTTGTTTCAATGGCAGATCCACCTGGAGATCCCCCAGGGGCCCTTCTCCCACCACCAGGATCTCATTTCTGTCCTTGATGCTCTGATCTCTTCCAGGACATCTGGGTGGGCTGGGCCAGGCTGCAGGAATCCAGGAGCATGGAGGAGGCAGAGCTGGAGGAGCCAAAGCTCCAGGGCCCGTCCTGGCCCCTGCAGGAGGTGCCTGTGGGGTTTTCCTTGCCCAGGCTGGTCCCTGCAGCACCTGGGCTGATGTTCCCTGCCCTGCCCTGGCTGCTGCTGCTCTCCCAGGCTGCTCCCTGAAAACTTTATTTCCAATGCAAGTAACCCCCTTACAGAGCTGTCAGTGCAAACCATCCTCCAGCCCTGCCAAATCCTGCTCACACACTGCTGGAAGCTCACAGGATTTTTTTGGGGCAGATGAATCAAATTTCAGCCTTTCCCCACCCGCCTTACAAGCAGAATAATGCAACAGACTTTGTGATCCTGCTGATACAAATCCATGATAACTTTCCAAAACTGCTTAACGAAATAGACAATGGTGCCTTTTGTTAAGGTTTTTTTGTTTTCTTTTCTGTGCCTTTTTCTGCTACTCTGCATTACTCTATTAAACGGTGTCACTTTTCTAAAACAAGAAGCAGATGTGCCTTCTCTGCACCCTTCCTTAATCCACTGTTTTTCTTAACTGATGTGAAAGTATTCCCAAGGGAAAACAACTGGTGTTGTAGAAAAAGCTATTTATATAAAATATATAATCATTTATAAATTGTTTATAATTTATAACACATTCTCTAATCCAACAGAACCACAATGAAAGAAGCAAATGAATCTTCCTCTCCCCCCATTCACCTGTAGCACTTTGACAAAGGCAGGAGCATTTCCCTTTGCCCAGAAATGTTTCCCTGTGCCATAGAAGCCAGCAGAGAGCTGTGACAGGAAACACTGTGGGGGCAATGACAGGAGCTGTGGCAGGGCCCAGAAGGAAGGCAGAAACCAGAATCCCTTAAAGGGATGCACACAGGACAATCACGTTTAAAAATACTTCTCCTGTTAGGCAGTATTCCCACAATTCTTAGTTTCCAAAGCAGTGCCTGGACTTTTCCTCCTGATGGCTTTTTAAAATTTTTTCAAGAAGAGAAACATCTGCATCACACAATAACCATTCCAGACTCTCAGCATTTCAGTCGTGGTTCCCAGTTCCTGAGGCTCAGGGAATTTCAGTGGGAAACAAGAAACTCTGAGCCACAGCACCCCCAGCCCAGCATTGCCTGCAATTTGGAAAACCAGATTTACCAAGCTCAGGTGGGGCTGGAGCCCACGGAACAGAGCTTTGCTGCCTGCAAATATCAAACTGCAGCAGCAGCAAGAAGTTTGTGCTGAACTCAAAAGCAGCACAAAGCTGAAAATCCCAAAGCAATGGCAAAGTCTCACTGAGCCTTCTTGGTTCCAGCTGCACACTCTTCTCTGCCAAGCCAGAAATGAAATCTGAGTTAGCAAACATCTGTTTCCTACAAGAGTGAAAATCATAGTTAAGAAGAATCAATCCATATTCACTCATATTTATTATGGAGAAGGCTTTAGAGACCTTTCAGGCAATTTTTCACACAGCAGACACATCGTAGCTATCCCAAGATACACTTCCAAGTGAAGAAACAGTCCCTACGACCTTTTCTGAACACATTTTAAAAAAGCACAAAGATGCCCTAATTTTCCTTCACAAACACTGAACTAAATCCGAGCCCTTCTCTTTGAAGAGCACAAGGACTTTGGCAGCCTGGAGCAGTGAAACATTAAAATTTCACTTATTCTGCATGATAATAAGAGGAATAATGAACTGTTTATGGAATATTTGGGAATAGAGCTCAGGGGATGCTCTGGGGATTTTTAGGGGATTCTCAGGGGATGCCCCTGGAGGAAAGCACCAGTTCCTCTGGAACCCCCCCAGTCCAGCCAGAGTCTGCTCAGGTCTGTGTTCCACGCTTCAGAAAAACCCCAAGGTTTTGTCAGATATTCTGGTTTGCCCTCATCCATCTCCAGAGTAATTCCCTTCCAAACAGAGGACGCTGTTCTAAAGGGAGTTTTGCAGACGTGATTTAATGAAAGCTTTAGGAGGAGTTTTAATAGCTCGCGTCAGAAACAGAGTTCCAGGCTTAATGGCAGAAATATTTACCGCTCAGTCCGTTTGTTGTTAATACATTTTTGTAGGACGGGATTTATATGTTAGCATTTTCCATTCTCGTTAAATCCCGGCTCTGCCAGTTGCCTCTGAAAGGCAGCGCCTCACATTCTTTGTGAATTATACACGGCAGCCTTTGTTTTATATTGACCCTTTCAGCCCTTACATGCCTTGACTGCCGCTAATCGTCATTTATCCTTCCCCGGCCCCGCTGATCTCCCGGGAGCAGCGCAGCACAAATAAAACCAGAGCACAATAAACATCCCAGAGCGCACGGAGGCAGCGCTCCGTCCTCTCGATAAGAGAAGACTGGAAAAAATGACAAAAAACTCATGCTTGCTTAAGGACAAGATATTCAGGCCCGCCAGGCGAGATAAGGGAATGTTTATTTTGTGTAATCAAAAAGTCACTTGGATTCAGGACATTTGGTTTTA